CATCAATATATCGGAAAAGATGAAAATGAACCCCCGGATTCTTACGAAGAAAGCGGTACTCCATTAGTGACAATGTGAGATCAGCAATATCCGGGCTAGTTTTTGTATCAGTTAAGTCATAGCATGTGATGAAACAGATAAAGCTGGCGGAATGCTGGAGACAAAATGGCCAAGAGAATAATCACTGTAGAGTAAGTGGAAGTGCATCCGAGAGGAAGCACAGATTAGCATCCTCTCCGACTTCCAGGAAAAGTCGAAATCACGCGTGTAGGAAGTTTAAAGGATGACCAATGTCAGTCGAAAAAGATCTCGGAAAAGCTAGATCTCCTGCCTCCCATATGGACCGGTTTCACTAATATGTCTGTCCATTAAACGGAGCAGAAGCTGCGTGTTTTTACCACGTTGCCGGTTGCGTTCATTAAAGCTCGTGCCCCGCCAATTAAGCATCTATTTTACCAAATTTTACGCCTTGTTGCTCAGAAGCTATTTTTTCCTCATGGCAATACCATCAAACGAGAAGAAACATTTGAAATATACATGAAAATACACAGGTGAACGAAAAGGGCATTCCATGAGCACAGGATGCAGCAGGTCCCCTGCTCTGCTTCCACCGCATATCACAGAATAAATATCAAAATGAAAATAAAGAAAAATCAGCAGGCCGATAGAAGTCACAATTCTGCATCCATGTGCCACGTATTTTTAGAAAAAAAACTTTAATTCCCAATGCTGATGCACGAGTCACACCAAACGCCAAAGACTTAACCTTTTCTTATTGTGCGCACACATTCAATCACAGACAACGAAGAACTCAGCGAAATCACTTGAACGATCGCTGCGAAGCCCGTGGTACAATCTGATATCCGGTATCGCTCTGCTCTGCGAGGCTCTTCCCCAAAATCAATCCTCATTGGGAGAACGCACCGTCTGAGAACTATCACCAAAGCGGGCAGGGTACCCCTCGAAGCGAATTTCATAATTATAAGGATAACACATTAAAGCCTCATGACGCTGTGGCCTAGATGAGGAAAAATCCCGGGCTCGCTCCGACCAAAACGGCACTCAAAATGCATTCCTCTTATCTCGAGATTAACTCCGTGCTGAAATTTAGCGTGCTCCCGGTCTCACCGAGTGATTTTTCAATGCGCTTTACCACCAGTTAATAGTTCCTAACATCAAAATGGCCGAAATTCTCAGAATCATCTTTCTTGGAAACCTAAACAACCAAATACTTATCCATTTCAGAATTTTAGCATCAATAAAAAAAATAAGAAATTTATAGCTTTGCAAAAACAACAAACAGTCCTACCAGCATCCGGAACAACAATTAATTGAACTTCAATAATTCCAAAAAAGATTAATGCCAATGAATTTAAGTAACTCATAAAATCACCTTACTCAAATGATCCCGACGCTTGCACTGTCCAAGCGCAGCAGGAATGGGAAGGCGCTTCCCAATGTATCACAGCTACGATAAAATTAGGAATTCAGATTTCAAGACGATGCCCAGATCCCAGACCCTCGCGAGTTTTGAAGATAAGTCTGGCAATGCCTCCTTTAAACTCGGTGCATCCCTTTCATAGCATAGGGGCTATTTTGGAAAAAAAGAGCTCTGCTTCACATCAGAGTCGATTGCTGCCTCCCTTTAGGGCCAAATGGACATAATCGAAAGCATGCACACATTCCGGATCAACAGAAAATTAATTGCATTTTTTTGAAACGTCTTCCTAGCTCTCACAGTGGAAAAAAAAAGAAATGTTGAATTCAAAAAAAAAAAAAAAAATGCGTGACCACTGTATGATAACAGCTGTTTGAGCATATGCGGCACAACCATTTGCAAGACTCACACCTATCAACCTGTGGACTACGAAATACGGCACACATTTCATATAAAAATATAAAACAGAGTTAGTGAAAAAGGGAACTGAGTGAGCCGTATGCAAATCAATCAACTATTAGCTTTTGCCAAAATACTGCGATAGACTTCGGCTTCCTCCTGCATCTCCTTCTTATCGCGGAATTTCTTCTCACTTCCTGGCTTATCATGCTCAGCCAGCTCATGGTAAACATTATCTGCATTACCACCAAAATCGCCTTTCCTCCGTGGCAGTATGTGTATGTGCACATGCTGCAATGAAAATAATAAGAAATAATAATTTACGGCCATTGGAAGGCAAAAACGTAGTATTACAATCAACTGGACGATCAAGATTTGTGAAGTGGACTAAATTTACATTGCTCTATCCACTGGGCAACCAGTACGCGCTTTTCTGATTTTGCCATTGGCCAATTTTAGCATTCATATGGTGGTTATCATGTCACATGAGTGTAGTCATCATTTTTACAATTTTAACACACCATTACTTGCAACGAAAAAAGATGCACCAAGAGTAGAACACTTACTGAGACAGTCTGCCCAGATTCAGGGCCATCCTGCACACAAACTGTGCTGGATGTTGTCCCATAGTGTGCTTCCAACATCGCTTGTATTCGTTTCGCAGTTATGAACAAGTCTGAGGTCTCCAGATTGCTGAGTTCGGTTAGACGAGTCACTTTTCTTATTGGACAAACAAGCACATCTAAAAGTCCCACGTATATGATTTCCTTCTGGAGTTACAAAAGTTGAAAATGAAAAAGTCCGCAGAAAGGAAGCGCTATGTGTATTCTAACTGTCCTGCCATCCTCCAAATGCAATAGTGGCAGCCTTTTAAAGACTTGCTCTGCCGCTTTTGAAGATTTTATTACTCGCTTTAAGAATCGAGGGGAGGGGAGGTATAAAAATGACACTTACGTCCAACTAATACAGGACATCGATTCACGAAGCAAAAAGAATATGCGGTTCGGTAGAAGACGAACTCAGATGCAATGCTATGCTCACCAAAATCGTACATTTTGCTTCCTGGAAATAAACGAAGCAAGTTTTTTCCTTCTTCAGACTCTGCTGCTTTTGAATGCTTAATCAAAACCAGGGATGCTCGAAGCACCTGTGTATAGCCAATGTAGGGCTGCACAATCAAACCGCAGACTGTTTTTTGCGCTTATTTGTTCCTGGTAATTACGACGATAATTATTACCGAAGAGATTTAAAATGCAATCACGGATTTTGCTCCTTTCGATTAACAGCTGAGTGATTCATATAAGAACAGCAGCAAAAAGCTAAAATATCTATGCCCGTAAAAGAATTCGAAACAAATTTTTACCGTTTGCGGGGTGAATATATCAGAAGTGATAGAATCCGAACCAGTATTCAAGAAAGGCCAAATTTCTGATACACTACTAAAACTAGGACTAGAACTCATCGCATAAAAAATAACTAATACCAAAAGTGCAAAGGAAAAATAATAATTTATCTGAACATTATTTCATCACTGTCCGTCGTGCAGTACTAAAATTACATTATATAACACATAGAAACTGACCGATTTCATGAGGCTCTATTGCAACCACTGTATATAAATCGGAACGTCGATGTGTGAAAACCGGTTGTAATGTTCGGCATTCAGACAAATAGCTCATGGATATCTCGGCGAAACACATATCTGCAGCGAAGAAAAAATTGGCCAACGCACGGGCTGCCCGTGCGAAGATGCGTTTTTTGCAGAGTTCCCCGCA